CCCCTAGTTGTGCCTTGCCAGGCCAAAAACTGCTGGGAGGGGTGCGGAAAAGGGGGGTCAAAATTCCTCCAAAATTCATACCTGGCCCCTAGCCCTGGCAGGTGGCATGTGAGGCACCCTGACATGCTCAGCAGGCCCAGGAGCACTGCCTGGCCCTCCCTGGCCCTGCCCAGGCCACCAGGATGGGCCCTGGCTGCACCCTGGCCAGCTGGAAATCCAGGGTAGAACAGGGCAAAACTGCCTGCCAGCCTGGCTCAGCCATCTGGGAGCAGATCAGGCCCATCTTAGGGTATGTTGTAGCCCTGGGTCAGGTGCACATCCCTGACCTTTTTGCAGGATTTCACCTGCCAGCAATGGTGCCTTGCCAGGCCAAAAACTGCTGGGAGGGGTGCAAAAAAGGGGGGTCAAAATTCTGTCAAAAATCTTGGATAGCCCCTGACCCCAGCAGATGGCCTGAAAGGCACCCTGACATGCTCAGTAGGTCTCAGAGCATTTCCTGAGCCTGCCTGATCATGATCAGGGCAGTGGGATGGGCCTGCACTGCCCCTTTGCTAGCAAAAGCAGGATTCCTGCCATCCCAGAACCCGCGCAGGCCAAAGCAGGACAAGCGGTTCAAGGTGCGTCGCGAGAGCCGGGCGGGGCAGGCGTGAAAACAGGGCTGGGTTGCGCGCAGACGACAATTAATGATACACGAGCGATCGAGCGAGCAGCGGAGCGAGAGATGGGACAGCAGCGAGATCGCAGTCCATCCCTCTGTCGGCGGCGAGGGAAAGAGAAGCAAGGAGCGACGGCGTGTGCGCGGAGCAGTGGAGACAGGCGGCGACAAGAGGGTCGCCGAGGAGCGGCGCGGAAGGCCACGGGTCCGCCGCCTCGAACGTCGGATGCCGATGCCGATGCCGATGCCGATGCCGACGGCCTGGCTCGGCCCGGCTAGGTGTCGCCGTGCACCCTGACGCGGTAGACGCAGGTGAAGGCGGGGTGGCCGTGGTTGCTGAGGAACTGGAACTGCACCGAGGGTACCTTGATGCCGAGCGCGACGACGTCGGCGGGCACGCTAAAGGTCTGCACGGTCCGCGCGCCCTGGTGCAGCTGGTAGGTGGCCGTGGCGAGCAGCACGTGGGCGTCCGACGGCGGCGGCGGTGCCGCATCGATCGATCCGCCGTCGTCCCCGTCCCCGCTGCCGGTGGCCTCGCTCTGCGACGATGACGACGATGACGACGACGACGACGAGTAGGCGCGCCGGGCCATGGCGGCGCGGTGTGCGGCGAGCTTGCGCCTGTCGGCCTCGCCGCTGACGATGCCCCAAACGGCAAATTCGCGCGGGGCGCTGGAACCCTCGTCGAGCGACAGGACGCGTGGCGTGTGCTCGATGCTGACGGCCGTGACGTGCGTCGGCTTGGAGAGGTAGACGCCCAGGCTGCCCGTCGGGCCGGCAAACGACCAGCACATGCCCGGCGACGTGTCTGGGTGCAGGGCCACGAGCGGCGGCCGTCCACGGATCGCCCTCTGCGGAGCGCCGGGCTTGGCAGACGACGAAGCCGCCGGGCGGGAACCCTTGGTGCGGCTGCCAAACGAGGGCATCCACCGGGCGCCCCACGAAGACGACGGGTCGTAGGCGTAGGTCTCGGTGGTCCACTCGGGCACGATGCGGCCGCCGGCCGAATAGAGTGCGTAGTCGCGCAGCCCGATCCGGTCGGCCGAGTAGTGCTCGAGCGCGGCGTCGATGAGGGCCAGGACGGATCCCTTGAGGTCGGTACCGTCCTTGAGCTTGAGGTCCACCTTCGACAGGGGCAGGGCTCCCGGACCAAACGCGATGCGGCTCAGATCGTCGCCACTGGCCCCGTTGTTGCTGCTGCTGCTGCTGCCGGTGCCGGAGCCGGGCAGCTTGGCTCCCTTGGGCCTCCACGAGCCCGCCTCCTCATACATCTGGTTCTGCTTGCGCACCTTGGCGAGGATCTCGTTCTGCAGCGCCTCGACGTTGTCGTTGAAGCGATCCGACAGCTCGTCTTTGGCGCGCTCGAGGCGCACGTCGAGCTCCGGCGCGATCATGGCGACCAGCGCATCGCGGTCGGGGCGCGGGCTGGCGCTGCTGAGCTGCTCCGAGATCTCGACCTTGATCCGCTCCGCCTCGTTGTTGAGCAGGCGCACGAATGTGTCGCGATCGAGCACCTTGGCGGTGCGCTGGTCGACCTGCTCGGCGACGAGCTCGGTGATGGCCGCCTGGTTGGCGCGCAGGAAACCCTCCCACGCCGTCTCGGGCACCGAGAGAAACTTGGAGTCGCCGTCGATGGTGGCAAACACCTTTTTGAGCTCCTTCCAGAACGACGGCTCGATGTGGATCCTGCCCGTCTTTGGGTCGGAGCGGACGGGCATCTGCGCCGGCAGCAGCTGCTGCAGCGGCTTGACTAGCTCGCGGAACTCGGCGAGGGCCAGCTCGCCCTTCCTCTGCGCCTCGCCGAGCCCTTCGACCAGGCTGCGCGTCCTTTGCAGCTCCGCCTCGACCTTGGCCATCTGGCTCTGCAGGCGGCTTCGCTCCGCCCGATTCGCCTTCGAGTCCTTGGTCGTTCGCTGCTCGAGCTTGTCGTGCTGACCCTTGAGCAGGCGGAGCTCTTCGCCGAGCTTGGCGTCCCGCGCGGCCAGCGCGCTCTCGAGACGGTCAAGCTTAGCACTGGCCCCCTCGTGCTGGGCGCTGAGCCGCTCGATCTGCTGCGCCGCCGCGTCCGACGCATCTTCGAGGCGGGAAATACGCTTGTCGTGGGCGCGGAAGCGCTGCTCGACGCGCTCGTGCTCATTCTGGAAGGCGCCCTCGAGGTTCGTGAGCCGGTCCGTCAGGTCCGAGAAGCTCGTCGGGGGCTCGTCGGGCGGCGTCAGCACGCGGGATGACGTTCGCGAGGACAAGAGGCCGAAAAGGTCAAAGCCCGAGGACCTCGGGACGTCGTCGACGATGATGGGGTTCTCGCTGCCCCAGTTGCTCGGGGCGGTAGCGGCGCGCAGAAGCACCAGGCCTATGAGGGGGACGACGATCCACGTCAGCGCCCGTGCGATGCCGAGCGCTTGAAGCCGATGCAAAGCCTGGTTCGCAACCATCAGTGGCGCTGAGAAGATGAGGGAGGCGAGTCCGAAGACGAAGGTGCGGACGGCAGAAGGAACGGAGCTACCGATGTCCTCTTCCTGTCCCGCTCCGGTGCCAGTCTTCTGCGCCGTAGGATCGACCGCCTTGGATAGCAGCTGTGTCGCGTCGGCCGCTGTCGTCGTCGGTGGGGTATCATCGAGGAAAGAGCCGTGCGTGGTACCGGCAAAGGAGTCGTCCGGCAGGTCGTTGCCGTTCTCGTCCTTCTTGCGGGGCGAGCGCCGCTTCTTCTTCTGCCCGCACCAGATCTTGTTGTCGTCGCGGCCCTCGCGCATCTTTGGCCAGTCGTTGCGGGAGCGGCGCCGGTGGCTGTGCTTTCGGCCGCCGTCCGAGCCGTCCGTATCGCGGTCCTCGTCGTTCGAGTCGGGACGGTAGGGGAGGTTGTCCTTGGACGTCCTTGGCCGTCTCCGCCGGTTGGCGCGATCGGCCGCCGACGATGGCCCTGCTCGCCCCTCACCCTCGCCCGCAGACGTAGCATCGCTACCGTCGTCACTGTCGTCGTCGTCGTCGTCGCTGTGCTCTCGACCGTTGCGACGGCTGGGGCCTGCTGCGCTCCTCTCCATCTCTTCGGCCTCGAGCTCGGCGGCTAGGCGCTCCTCTGCCTGGTAGTCGTACGCAAGGCTGCGCGAGTCGTCCGGCTCGCTCGAGAGGATCGAGTGCATGCCGACCGAGGTGCGCGAGTGCGAGGGCGAGTAGGGGTCGTAGCTGGGCTTCTGTGCACCGCGTAGGAGCTGGTTGGTCGGACCGCCGAGCGTGTTGCCGGCAGAGCTGAACGAGTTCTGCTGCGGCAGGTTGCCGTTGGAGCGCTCGCGGACAAAGAAGCTCGAGGGCTGGAGCGTGAGGCGGTTGTTTCTGCTGCGGTTGAAGCTGGTGGTGGATGAAGTGGCGTCGGGCGCGTCGTCGCGCAGGCTCGAGTGTTCCTCTTCTTCGGTCTCCTCCTTGATGCGGACGGGCGGCCTCTTGCCGTCGAGGACTGAGCGGCTATTGGTGCCGGGCGGCGACATGCGGAGGACCTGGGAGGGCGAGCGGAGGTAGCGATTGGCGGCACGGTCTCTTTGAGGGGTGCTGCGGTCTGCTGCGTGCGGAAGGCGAGGTGGGCGGTTGGCGAGACGCGGGAAGGTTTGCGCCGAGCGAGTGGGGGGAGTGAGGTTAGGAAATGAACGCAAAGAAGATCAGTTGCCGGCTATGGGCGAAGACAGCAGAGGCCAGCAAGCTCGAGGAGCGGTGCAGGCGAGCAAGATTCGGCCGGATGATGGGAGGGCCGAGCTCATGGACCCGGGTTGCGCCGCCTTGGCGCGGAGCTCGACGGCGACGGGAAGAAGTGGCAGCTTCCCGTCGCTCGAGTACGATGCAAAGAAGCGGCAGCTCGTCGTCGCTGGAGCCATCGGGATGCTGCGGCGCGCGCAAGGGACGAAAGGCTGTACTGACCTTGTGGATTGGCACTCTCGGCGCGGCCCGCGCTGAGTCGGCTGGACGACCTGGTCTGGCGCGTAGGCGTGGCGAACATTGCGGCGATGCCAGCGCGGCTAGATGCGAGGTGACGAGCTGCGTCGCGAGTGGGGCAAGCTGCAAGCTACCAGGCCGCGTCCGGCGAGGTGCGAGCAAGGGCGGCGATGGCGGTGCGAGTCGGCTTTCTTGACGGGCCGAGCGGGATGGCGAGTCGATGCTACATCCAGCGGCGGCGAATGTCGGCAATGCTGATCCGGATGGTCGATGCGAGGATGCTAGAATGCCGAGATGCTGTCTAGTGCGTGCAAAGGAAGACCGACGTCGCTGGCCCGGGCGAGGCGAGGCTGGTGGAACAAAGACGGCGCGGGGCGGGCGAGAGATGCTATCGGCTTGGCTCGAGGTGGAGCTGCGGTTGGATCGAGGCAATGCAGTGAAAATGCTGGAGCGGTTGGTCGTGACGAGGAGGGATTCGGCAGGAGTCCACTCGTTCTCCAGAGGGGCCGCAGAGGAGTGTCGGGGAGCAGAAGGCGGCGGATAGGAGCCGGTGTCGCGAGTGCAGCGAGAACCAGGCGGCAGCGGAGCAATGAGCGAGAGTGTATGGTGGATCGCAAGACGAAGGGGTGGTGAAGGGCAGGCGGGGTGGACGGTACCTGCGCTCCTCGCGATCGGGCGCTGGATGGCTGGAGGGATGGCCGGATGGATGGATGCGGTGGATGCGATGGATGCGATGGGTGGATGAGGGAAGGGAGGATGGCCGATGCTGAGGTGGGGCGGGTGTCGCGAGGGGCGGGCGAAGTTGGCGAAAAATTGGAATCGAGGTGGGGCGTCGTTGGGCGCAGCCGACAACGTCCACGACAGCGACAGCGACAGGTCGAGGGCCGGCGGACAGGGGCGCGAGGGGGGGGGGCAACAGGTAGAGGCTAGGCCACGACGGCCAGCCGCACGCGCCCGTCCAACCGAGCAACTTCGACCCGCGCCTGGCCTCGACCCTCGAAAAAGGCAAGCAGGCACTGCACGCTGGATGGCCCAGCACGACCCTGTGCGCGCCGCGCCCGCTCGACTCTGCACGCAGACACGTACGTACGGCTGCCTGGGCGGCCCTGCTGCCTGCCTGCCTGCCTACCTGCCTGCTGGCTTTGGGCCTGCTGCACGGCAAACGGACCATCGATCGTGTAGACAGCCTAGAAGACGAGGCAGAGACGAGGCCTCCACCGACTGGGCAGTCAGCCGGGGTCGACCCCCGTACGACGAGCAGGCCCTGCCGACTCGTTTCCTCCCGTGCGATGCGACGCCTGCAGCGCAGCATTCGCAGCTCATCCGACCGCCGAGCAAGAGCAGCAGAGCGACATAGCAGCAGATGATAATGACCGTGACATCGACATTGGCAGAAGCAGCAGTCCCACCCTTGCTTGCATGCGATCGGTTGGGCAGGACTGCTGCCCGGTGGGACTGCTTAAAAGTACAGGGATTGGCGGTGACGGAGAATAGCGGTGAGGATCGTGCGAGCGAGCGAGCGAGGACCATCACAAGAGCCGCAGGAGAGAGACGCAAAAAGACGACGAGAGAGGAGAGAAAGGGAGAGGGTGAAGGTAGGAGGCGATGGAGAGCCGGAGGACGATCTCGAGAGAGAGAGAGTGGACGAGCGACGGCGCCTCGGGGTTACCTCTGCGAGCCCGAGGCATTGCCGCCGCCGCCGCCACCACCACCCTGCGAATGGCGCATGGCCCACTCGTACCTCTCCTGCCCGTACTGGCGCGTCAGCTTGGCCGTGTTGGCGGCGTGCTGGCTGCCCGTCGTGCCCATGGCCTCGAGCAGCTCCACAATCGTGTGGCCCGCCGACCACATGGCCGCCTCGAGCGTCTCCTTGTCCTCCGAGGCCGGCAGGAACCCAAACGACGGCGGCTCCACCCAGTCCGGGTTGTTCTGCGCAAACGTCGAACCCCAAGACGACCCGGCCACGTGCGTCTCGGCGGCCATGGCAAACGCGTGCTGCGCAATCGTACGCCAGTGCCGCGGCCACCGAACCGAGCGCAGGATGCCATCCATGGTCCTCCCGGCGCCCGTGCCCACCTTGTCCCCGGCGCCGGGAGCGCATGACAGCGCCGCCGCTACCGTTCGGTCCTCGAGCGGCGCCAGCGCGGCCTCCCTGGCCCGGTGCATCTCGAGCGATCGGCGCGCCACCATGCCCATCTCGAGGATCGACGCAAAGCACGCTCGCACCGGGCTGCGCGTGCACGTAGGCTTGGGCAGCAACGCCAGGCCCGGTGAACCGCCGTCGGATGGCGGTGCGGCAGGCTGAGGCTGCGGCTGCGGCTGGGGCGGCATCCGTGCCTGGGGCTGGGAACGGTCCCCATTGACGAGATCCGCGGATGCAGGACTCGAGCTGTGCCGGACGCCGCTCGACTGCTGCGCCGAGCCTGCAGCTTCGCCCGCGATCCGCTCAAAGCCTGACAAGTGCTCGCGCTCCTTCGGCACCATGGTGGTGGCCAGCTTCAGCGACGGGTCGGGCCGCGCGTCGGTCTCGGCGGGGAAGAGAAAGTAGAACGCCTGGATGGCCAGGTGAAGGCGGTAGAGCATCACCTCGCACAAGCGCGACTGCACTAGCGCCGCCATCTTGATCGGCTGCTCGGGGCCCTCGAACGTCACCTCGCCGATTCTGCTGCGGAGCCAGTCGGACTCGGTCTCCATCTCGTTGAGCGCGCGCTGCAGGTCCGGCTCGGGCGAGCGCCCGGTGCAGATGTCGAGCAGCGGCGTGTGAAGCAGGCGGACGACGCGGGCGTAGAGCCGGAAGACGAGGTAGCGCGTCTGCTGCATGTACTCGTTGGTGCGGGTGCGCGGCTTGGGCGTCCAGTTGCTCAGCTCGTGGATGTAGTCGTCGCGGTGGACGCTCTCGACGGCCATCGAAAACAGGTCGAAGCGCGGCAGCTGCATGTCCGAGGTCTGGATCCAGTAGGCCGAGCACGTCATGAAGATGACGGTGCGCCGCAGCGCCTCGCGCTCGATGGGGTCCGTCACGAAGCCGCGCGCGTCGACGATGCGCGGCAGCGGCAGGTCGTCGTCGGTGTCGCCCACGTCGCCGGCGTACTCGATGGCGCGGCGCAGCACTGTCACGGGCTCCCAGGGCACGTCGTAGTCGGGCGACTCGGGCGTCAGGTCGATCTGGTGCAGGCGCCAGCAAAAGAGGACGCGGAAGAGCCAGTACTTCATCTTGGCCATCTTCTTGGTGCTGATGCCGTCCTCGACGGCGCCGAGGTCGAGGAACAGGCCGCACTGCACCAGCCGCGGGTCGACCTCGCCCGCCCTGATCTTTTGCAGCATGACGTCGCACGCCAACGACCAGCAGCGCCGCGCAAACTGCAGCATCTCTTGTCGATCCTCGCCCTCGAGCCGGCCGTTCTGCGCGGCGCAGCGCAGCGTGGCGGGCCCGGCGCGCAGATCGAGGTCCTCGATGTTGAGGTCGTCGGGCAGCAGCAGCGCGCGATGGCTGAGCAGCGCCAGCAACGCCAGCAGCAGGTACGCCGGCGGCTCGGGCTGCGGCCCGCCCGACTGCTGGCCGAAGAGGTAGCGGGCGGGCGCGAGCTTCTCATGAGAGTCGAACTCGGCAAAGTGAGCAATGGCGATGGCCACCAGCGGGCGGTCCTGGTCGGTGCAGTAGGGGCGGAGGCGGTCGATGAGGTTGGTCTGGTCCATGTACCGGTCGCACGGCCCGATGGCGTCCGACGGCGGCGAGAGGGCAGTGGCCTGCGCAAAGTGGGTGATGGCCGCATCGGAAACGGGGGAGCCGTCGGGCCCCAGGGCTGGGCGGCGTGGCGCCGTCGAGTCGTTGGACCGTTCGGGCGACAGGGCCGTCCGGCTGCGGGCACCGCTCGAGGCGCCGCTGAACTGGGCCGACGACCTGAAGCTGGCGTTGCTGTTGCGCCGGTGGCGAAAGAAGCTAGACCCGGCTCCGTCGAAGCCCTCGCCCGGGCAAGGGTATGGGGCGACGGCAGGTTGCTGCTGCGCCATGTTCATCGGCTGGCCCTGTCCGCCGGCTTGCCAGGGCACATTGCTGTCCTGGACGAACGTTGGAGCGCCACCCGCAGCCGACTGCCCAGCGGGCGACGATGTGAAGCCCAGCGGATACCCGACCGCCGGGCTCTGGGTCCGCTGCTTGGCCGGGTCAAAGGGCTGAGTGCGGTCGAGCTCGGCCCCGCCGCCCGCGCTGCCGATGTGGCCCACGGGCGAGCCCGAGAGGCGGTGGAGCATCGAGGATCCCGCCATCAGCCTCTCTGCGTCGGCCGATCCACGTGCCAGCATGTGGGCCGGGCCGTGGCTCGATATCGACGTCGCCGAGTCGGACACGGTCGGGGTGAGGGGCGAAAAGGAAGCCGAGCCATCGTGGGGCGAGAGGCCTGCGCGGCTGAGGGAGCTGTCCGAGTCCGACATGGCGCGGTGTAGCTGAAGCTGCTGCGACTGGACATAGGCGGCACCGGCGCTGGCCTCGGTTCGCGGTGCGCCGAGGCCGGCGGCATCGGTGCTCTGGCTCGAGCCGGGCCGCTTTCTGGCCTTGGGCCCGCGCGGCTTGCGGTTCCAGTCAAAGATGCAGATCTCCTTGGCCTTTGCGATCCAGGCAGCATAGTCGGAGGAGGTGGTCGGTACGTCGCCCTTGCCGATGGAGCTGGCGTCGGGCAAGCTCGACGAGGGCAGGGTGGCCTTGACCGTGTTGAGGCAGCTCTTGCAGGGGTTCTGGCCATCGCAGCGAGACTTTCGCTTGCGGCAGAGCTCGCAAGCGGCCCATATCTGGCCAGGGCGACAGCGAGCGTACGGGAAGGATAGGGTGGAAGTGCGGGTGTCAGTCGAGGAAGGTGGTGCGAGACGCGGCGAGGCGCGACGAGGCGAGGCGCGACGGGGTAGCAAGCGCAGGCAGCGGAGCGGATCCCGGACTACCCACCCTTCGCTTTTTTGCCGCTGTCCCGTCGCCGGCATCCGAGCTCTTTGGCTGGGCGTCCATCTACGTGGCAGGTGTTGTGTGGCGAGGCCGAGCTCTGGGGATTTGCTCGGCCCTCTCGCCGTTGCGCTCGGGGCACGGCCGAGCCTAGGCGTCTGTGCAAGGGCAGGCGCTGACGCAGGAGCGGATGGCGGTGGGCTGGATGCTTGAATTCGACGAGCCTACACGGAGTTCGAAGATGAAGCTGGGCGAAGACACCCTGTCTGGATAGATGCAATCCGGGTAGCCGGTCGATTGGCTGGAGTGGCAGGTAGGACTTGAGGAGGCCGAGTGCGGGCCGGAAGTCTGAAGAGGGGCGGGTGCAGTGCGAGGGGGTGTGGGGTGGAGTGGATGCTGGCTACTGTTGGGGTCGTGGTGGCTCGGGAGAATGAGGGGCAGATGGCTGCTGGACGGCGCTGACAGGTCGATGGCTGGCAAAGGATGGTGATGTGAGGGTGCTGAGCGATGGCTGAGCTGGGAATGCAGATGGCGAGCCGGACGTTGATGGGCCATGCGCCTGGCAGAGCAGAGTCAGAGGTGGCGATGGATCGAGAGGCAGGCTAGGCCAGGATGCAGAACCGAGAGGCCAAGAGAGGATGAGAAGGAGGGAGGATGATGCATGGAGTCAAGAGGAGAAAGAGTCGCCTCGAGAGTGCGGAGCAGTGTGAAATGCAGCCGACCCGGACTGAGCCCTGGCGGCCAGGCCAGGCCAGGCCAGGCGAGGCCACGACAGCCTGCTGGTGGGCCGGCGCCGGCCATGCAAAAGAAATTAGCCTAGGCGGCGCCCCGCCTTTTGGGCAGGCCACAGCAGGGCCTCGTTTCGCAGCAGCAGCGACGCGAGCAGCGTAAGCCGCCCCCCGGCCGCACCGGCTGGCTGGCTGGCGTTACGGCCCTACTCTGTCACGGCCAGGATAGCGCCAGCGAAAGGGGCGAAACCAGAAAGCAGGCAGGGGATAGAGTAGAGAAGCAAAGTTAGAGAGAGAGAGAGAGAGAGAGGCTCTAGCTTGGCTGGCTGCAACCTAGTTAGATCGAGATGCCTGCCTGGCCAGGCCTTTTGTCCGTCGATAGGAAGCTTCTGGGGCAGGCACGACAAAAGACGAGGCAGGCCGGCATCTGGCCGAGCGACGTCGCTTCTCCCCTCTTTGGCTGTACCGTCAAAGGGGGCGCGACGGAGAGAGACGGGCCGGTGCTCGTCCAGGCTTGGCTTGGTCGTGTCCCCTGGTGTCGTCTCCAGCTCTCGTCAACAGACTCGAGAAGAGATGGCACCTGCTGCAGGGCCTTGGCTCAGAGCTTGGGTCGCGACGGACCGACGGCCGGTCGACATGCGCCCGACGACGCCTCTGCTATGCCTGCCTCGGTCCGTCCAGCATCAAGAGGATTCGAGATTGGGACGGGTACTCATCGCCGTCTGGCCAGAGCGTCTCGCCATCGTCTGTGCACCTCTGTCTATCTGCTGTGGCTGCTGCTACAGGAGAAGCTCCAGCAAGCTCCAAGCCGCGGGGTCGAGGCCGACGAGGCCGTAGGCGGGCTTCAATTTCGGATCTCGGAAGCAGCGGCCAAGGGCCGGGATGGTGCCGTGCCGCCAAGCCCCGTCAGTCAGGGCCGGCCGGCCTGCCTGCCAATAACGAGCTAGGCTTTTGGGTCCGGCGAGCAGCCGAGGACCAGGCAGGGTGCAGATTAATCGTCTGTCGGGACCAGCCGGCTCGGGTGGACCACGTACGAGGTGCCGGAGACTGGCCCCAACGAGCAGCACCCACAGACGAGCATAGGGGCCACGACGGGTGCGGCCGTGGTGACCGAGGGCCTCACCGGCCTGAACGAGCCACGCGAGGCGGGTGTTGGCCGCACGAAGAAAGCAAGAGGGCCAAGCCAGGCCAGCCAGGGTCGGCGGCCGAATCTTGAATGACGCCGGCAAGCAGCAGCGTCAGTCAGGCCGGGGAGAGAGAGGAGAGGGGGCGTGCGCTTGTCAGCGGGCGATGCTTTGCACCCTCCCTTCCCTGCTTGCTTTTTGTCTCTCTCTTGGCCCTGGCCACCCTGCCTGCTCCGCTCTGCTTCGCCGCCGCCGTTGTCACCACCACCACCACCACCACCACCACCACCACCACCACCGCTCCTTTCTCGACTCCCTAGCCGGCACTGCTCGCGGTCAAGGCCAGGCCAATAGTCTCACCCGCCCCAGCAAGCACCGGCCTAACCCGACCCGACCCGGCGGCGGCAGCCTCGCTCTCCCTTGATCGGCCTCGGCCACCGACGGCCTTCCTAGCTCGACGGCAGAGCCACCGCTGTCCAGCGTCATCGTCCCCGGCAGGGACCATGGCCCCGGCGTCTCGCATCGCCGCGTACCTCGCACATAGCGCTAGCACCATTGCGCCGCCGCACCTCCGATCGCTCCCCTCGCTCTCGGCCACCCTCACGCGTCCGGCTGCCTGTGGTCTGCACGCAGCCAGCGCCTTTGGTCCAGCACGCTCCACCTCGGCCACTCGCTCCCACTCAACTGCTCCGCACGCCTCGCTCCGCGCATCAGCGGTGCTGGAAACGGCATCGACGCCAAAAACTGCCGCACACGCAAGCTGCCGGCCGCGCACTACAGCTCCCTCCACCCTCGGTGCCCTCGTCGTATTTGGCGGGACATCGCCCTCGCTCAGAGATCACCATCATGCACTCCATTGGCGGCCGGATCTGCACCGCCTCTGCCAGCGCAACTATGCCACCACCCCCTCCGGCGTCAAGACGACCATCCCCAGCACCGCCAGGCCCGCCCTAGAGGACAGCCGCCACCTCGAGCGCCGCCTCGACCACACAAAGGACGAGGGCTACCTCGCCTTCACCAAGGCCAGCCTCTTCAAGCTCACACTGCCACTGCAGCCCCCATCTGACGACCCAGATTCGCCCGCATCCAAGCTCAGCTCGCCAAAGGCCCGCGCAGAGGCCGAAGAGGAGCAGCGCAGCATCGACCGCGACCGACAGCCAGGGTACCGCGAGGCCAAGGAGCAAGACGACCACCGCGACAGCAGCAAGGAGGTCATCTCGCAGAAGCCCTGGGAGCAGGCGGCCGAGACGCCCGGCCCGCCCGTGTCGCAGCTCAAGCACCGCCCGCACCAGCACCTCCACGGCCCAGAGCAGGGCGAGCCCGCCGACAATGAGGCCGAAGAGTACGACGCAGAGGCGCCCGCCCACAGCGTCGTCTTTCTCCTCCACAGCGGCCAGCCGCTCAGCTACATTGCCAGCCTCATCCGCGCAGAGGGACCCAGCCCGGAGCCCAGCCAGTGGCAGACCGACGCAGAGAGGCGGCAAAAGACCGACTCGAGCGACCCGAGCTCCCAGCTGGCTCCCAGCCCGCAGCCGGCGGCTGGCTCGGGCGCCGATGCGCGCACCACCTTTTCCCGCCACCAGATCGAGCGGCGCCAGGCGGCGCTGCGCGAGGGCTTCGTCGACCCGCTGGGCGACCCGCCCATCTCGTTCCATACGCGCGCCGCCGACGGCAAGCGCTGGTCGCCCTCGACGGGCATCGGCGACTTTCTGCGCGACGCTGCGCGCATCGGCTCGTTCATCATCCGCATCGGCGGGCGCAACATCACCGTCCAGGTGCCGTCGTTTGAGGACCGCACCCGCTTCCTGCGCGCCAACCTGTACGCCAAGACCCACCAGATCGAGAAGCTGGTCAAAATCAAGGACGAGTGCGACCACATTGCCCACGCCGGCACCCGCCGCTTCGCCATCGGCGGCGTCGGCATCCTCGCCGTGTGGTGGACCAGCGTGGCCTGGCTGACGTTCTACACCGAGCTCGGCTGGGACACCATGGAGCCCGTCACCTACCTCACGGGCCTTGGCACCCTCATGGGCGGCTACGTGTGGTTCCTGGTGCACAACCGCGAGGTGTCGTACCGGGCCGTGCTCAACGAGACGACGTCGCGTAGGCAGCAGAAGCTCTACATTGACCGCGGCTTCAACGTCGACCGCTACCAGGACCTGATCGAGGACGTCAAGGAGCTGCGCAGGTCGATCAAGAAGGTGGCCGAGGAGTACGACCTCGAGTGGGACCAGGGCGAGACGAGGTCCGGCCAGCAGAGCAGGCGCGCGCTCAAGATCATCCGGCAGCAGGAGGCCAGCGAGGACCGACCCAGCCGGACCAAGAAGGTGAGGCAGCCCGCGCTCGGACGCAGGGGCGGGTGTGGGTGGAGCTGTTCCGCGTGCAGCTGGCTGACCAGCGTCTCTCCTTGATGCGTTTCCTCCACCTTGTGCGGCAGGCCGAGGACGAGGAGGACGACCACGAGGCCGAGTTTGAGGACAAGGACGGCGACGGGCAGCCGGACCGCATGCGCACAAAGACCAAGAAGATGGGCAAGCGGCCACAGAAGAAGAACGCCAACGCCCCCATCGACGGACCTCGAGGTGAATAGAAGGCGTGGCTGGCGAATGGTTGGATCAATGCAAGCCGTTGCGTCGCCCTTCCCTCCCCCCTCCTCTTCCTCTCTGCAATGTGCGCTGTGATGCCCGACCGTGATTCTCATCCTTCCTTTCCCCTCTGTGTTTTTCTCTCCCTCGTTCTCTGCCTCTGCCTCGCTGCACACGATCAAGCTTACCACACATGGGCTCGGCCGTCGACCTCGACCGTCTGCAGACGGCCCGGTCCGCCGACACGCGCTTCAGCACCGTCGCCCGTAGTAGTCCGTCGCTTCAGCGCCAGTGCGGCAGCGCGGACGCCGCCAAAGACACCCGCCCCTATCGACCCGGCGACCGATGCAGCCACCACCACGCCTCCCGCCTCATCGAAGCCACCGCGGAAGCCGTTCAGCCTGCGGCCGTACATCCTCCTGAGCCGGCTGGACAAGCCGATTGGGACATGGCTGCTCTTCTGGCCGTGCGCGTGGTCCATCACTCTGGCGGCGCACACGCTCGGTCTGCCGCTGTCGACGCCCGTCTTCTACACGCTGCTGTTCGGCGTGGGCGCGGTCGTGATGCGCGGTGCGGGCTGCACCATCAACGACATGTGGGACGTCAAGATGGACCGGCAGGTGGAGCGGACGCGCTCGCGCCCGCTGGCGGCGGGCGACCTGACGCAGTTTGAGGCGCTGTGCTTCCTCGGCGTGCAGCTGAGCGCCGGGCTGGCGGTGCTGCTCCAGCTCAACTGGTACAGCATCCTGCTGGGCGCCTCGTCGCTCTCGGTCGTGACAGTCTACCCGCTCATGAAGCGAATCACCTACTGGCCCCAACTCGTACTCGGCCTCGCCTTCAACTGGGGCGCCATGCTCGGCTGGTCAGCCCTGGCCGGCTCGGCGGTCCAGTGGGCCGTCGTGCTGCCGCTGTACGCCGGCAGCGTCTTCTGGACGCTCGTCTACGACACCATCTACGCCCACCAGGACAAGCGCGACGACGTCCACGCCGGCGTCAAGTCGACGGCCCTCCTGTTCGGAGAGCGAACCAAGCCCGTCCTCTCGGCCTTTTCGACGGCGACGATTGGGCTTTTTGGCTACGCCGCCTCGCAGGCCGTGCCGCCGGCCATCACCTCTACAGCAGCAGCAGCAGCAGCAACGACGGCGACCGAGGCAGCAACTCGGGCCCCGACGGCGCTTTCGACGCTTTCCGACGTGCACCTCTCCCCCTCGACCGTCGAGCAGATCGGAGCGCTGGCGCCGTTGGTCGAGCACCACCCGCTCTTCCTCGTCGGCCTGGCGGGCGCGGCGTCGCACCTCGCCTGGCAGATCCGCACCGTCCGCCTCGACGACCGGCCCGACTGCTGGAGCAAGTTCGTCTCGAACACGACGTTTGGTTGGATCGTCTTTGGCGGGTTGGCGGGCGACTATGCGCTGTGGCTTTATGCCAAGGGGCGGCGGGAGGAGGAGGAGCAGGGGCAGGGCGAGGGCGTGGGCGTGGAACGGGGTGCGCGGGACTGACGAGGCATGGGGAAATGACCACGCGGTACCATTGATTCCAGACCGAGCGGCTTGGCCGTGCTTGCATCTTGACTAGTGCTCAACGTGCTGCGAAGAGAGAGGTGGGAGATGTGCAGTAACATAGCTCACTGTAGATGGCAGCTGCGGCATGGTTCGGATCGTATCGTGTCGTCGGGCCAGGAACCTGAGCCGACCCGGGGCGAGGCCGAGGGCCGACACGTGCCCCTGCGCCAAGCCCGACGTACCCTAGCCTATCCTAGCCTAGCCTGACCTGACGTCTTAGCCGCAGGCTGCCGTGGCCTGGCGCTTCGCTCGCCAAGCAAACCAGAAAGCAACAAGCAAGGCGAGGCAAGCATGCATGCTGCTAATGACCCGTCAGGCACAGCGTAGCGCAGCGTCGATTCGGTCGGGATCGGCATGATTCGCGGCGTCGTCCGGTTGTCTGGGACTCCTCGTCTGTCCGTCCGCCCTGCCTGAGTTACATAGCCGTTGACTGTGGAGCGAAGAGAAAAATAGCCGGTGACCCCGCCCCGTCTCGCCCCGCCCCTCCCCCGGACCAGGTTCTTTCTGGAGCGGCGCCGTGAGGCATCGTACCGTGCCGTACATGTATGCGTGCCATGCCGTTCCGTGGACCTCTTTTGCGCCTCATGACCTGACCAGCCTCAACTCTGGCTCCAGCCCCGCATTCCCTGCCCGGGCCGCGGATGGGCGGACCCCCACCGTCGTAGGGGTGACCCGGTGCGTAACCTTGTGCTTCTTCGTCGCTGCTGCGCCTGCTGCTGCTGCTGGCCTTCGTTTGCGGTAGGGGTGAAGTCGTCCTTGCTGTTCACCCCAGCACCACCACCACCACCACCACCACCACCATCCCATCCTGATCTCGCCTCAACGGCCCCTCGAGGGCATGACCGACCGCCATCACCGACGACGACGACGAGGCAAGGGACACCGACGACGACCATCGCCAGCAGCATGGCGCGGTTCCAGGCGGGCCAGCTGACGGACGACGTGCACGCCGACTGGCTGACGGTGCAGCTGCTAGCCATCACGCTGGCCACGGGCGTGCTGGACGCGGTGTCGTACGGCGAGTACCAGGTGTTTGCGTCGAACCAGACGGGCAATGTCATTGTCCTCCTCTCGCTCGCCATTGGCATACGGACGCGGTACGCCGGCGGGCCCGCGCTCGTCACAACGGCCGTGAGCCTCTCGACCTTCCTCGCCTGCTCCTTCACCTCGGGCCGTATCGGGATGCGGGTGGGTCCAAGGAAAAGGTGGTGGTTCCTCGTCTCCACCGCCGTGCAGAGCGGCGTGCTCGCCATCGCCGCCGTCCTCATGTACCGCGGCACGTGGTACGCCCTCGCGTCGTCCCGCGGCCATGGGTGGGACGCGCTGCCCGTCAGTCTCCTCGCCCTCGTCGGCGGACTGCAGGTCTCCCAGGCCCGCCAGTCTGGCATCCAGGAAATCCCCACCGCCATGCTCACCAGCCCCATGGTCGAGTTCCTCAACCACCCGCACCTCTTTGCTCCTTGCTTCCGCCTCTCGTTGTCCTCTCCAAGCCGACCCCGACCCAGCCCCGCCGAGGCGGCGGCCATCAAGTCGCGCAACCTCCGCGCCCTCTACCTCTTCACCTTTGTGACGGGCGTCACGACGGGCGCCGCGCTCCACAGGTCCACGGGCCCCGCTAGCGCCACCTTCTTCGGCCTGGCGATCCGCCTCGTCAGCTTTGTCGCCTTTGTCTTTGTACCCGCCCAGCGCGCTCCGCTGTCGGCGTCGCAGTCGCTGCCGTGCCCACCTTCGACGAGCTCCTCCTCTTCCGCCTCATCCTCGTCACCACCCTGCTCGTCATCTGCTCCGGTTCCAGTCTCTGCATGATCTCGCTCGCATGGCATTCCGAAATTAAACATTCCGACCGCCTCGTCCGCTGCGCTCGACGGTGAGGGTGTTTCCAGACAACGGTACGGCAGCCCGAGCCTACACTGACACTGACTAGGCGGCCCAGTCGGCCTGCACCGGTATGACAAAGTGGTTTCGAAGCAGACGACCGCCGACGAGGTTGAACTGCAGCGAAGGGTGGAGCAGGCGGGGCGCGGCGAGGCCGGCGTCGCGGTGCGTGCGGAGCTCGACGAAGCCGTCGAGGTGGGGCGAATGGATGTTGCGCTGACGCTGCTCTGCGACCGTCGAGCACGTCATCTCTGGCCTGCCCGTCTGCGGCGGCGGGTAGTCGTGGCCCACAAACACTTTGGTGTCGTCGGGCAGCTCGAGGAGCGTGGTGAGCGACTGGGCCAGCTGGGTCGCTGAGCCGCCGGGGAAGTCGGCCCTGGCCGTGCCCACGTCGGGCATGAAGATCGAGTCGCCGGCAAAGAGGCAGTCGTCGATCATGTAGCCGACGTGGTCCGGCGTGTGTCCGGGCAGGTGCATGACGCGGCAGGTCGACTGGCCAAAGGCGAGGGTCGCGTCGGACTCGAGGAGAAGGTCAAACGAATCGGCCAGCGCGGCGTCGTCGAGGCCGTAGCGGGTTGCAAACTGTCGCTGGACCTTTGTGACGCCCGCTCCGATGCCGATGACCGGTGGAGCGGCCTGTTGCTGGGCTAGGAGCGTCTTGAGGCGGCGCGCGCCGGTGAGGTGGTCGGCGTGGACGTGAGTCTCGAGGATGTGGGTGACCTGGTAGCCGCGGTCGCGGATGAGGCCGACGAGGGGCTGGAGCGAGGCCGACGAGATGTGGCCGGACGCGGCGTCGTAGTCGAGGGCCGGGTCGATGACGACTGCGCGGGTGCGGCTCGAGTCGAGGACGAGGTAGGTCCAGGTAAAGGTGGGTGCGTGGAAAAACGGGAGGATGTGGTCGTTTGTGGGGTCGCACGTCACGAGGCCCAGCTTGGACGTCGACGGCGTGGCCGAGGAGATGGCGGTGCCGGGGCTTGCCGGCTTGGCGGAGGCGTCAACTGAGGGGGAGACGACCGTCGCCGGGCGAAGACGAGGCGGGCCCGTTGAGATATGACGCAATGAGGCGGTAAAGGGGGCCACAGCAAGGATGGCAGGAGGCGCGGTAGTGGAAGCCGCGAACCTGGCCGCGGAGGCAGTCGTGGCGGCACGAAGCCAAGGACGGGCGAGAGACGACATGGTGGTGGCGGCGAGGATGGCTAGGGTAGAGGGAGAAGGTGGTGGTGGTGGTGGTCAAGCCCGAGCAGGCGGCGTTGACGACGCTCGAGGGAGCATGGCGGGCAAGCTCTTATGGGTTGGGTTGGCTTATGGGTTGGGTTGGCAGGGGTCAGCGGGCGGGGGGGAAGTTGGACAGGGCCACGGCATCAAAAGCCACCGGGTTACGGCAGGGGAGCGAGCGAGGGACGTGCGAGGCCGGGTGGGGTGGCGGACCTCTTGCTGATGGCCTTGACGGCTTGACTTGGCCAGGCCAGCCCCGAAGCAAGAAGGCGCAGCAGGCTATGTAGGGTCTCAGCTGCTCGACGTGCCACGTACCGTACCGTCAGCCAGAGCGGCGGCTGCTTTGTCGGGCGGCGGCCATTTTTTGACGGCCCGGCTAATTGCCCTCTTGCAGCGGCTATCTGAGCCACGCCCCGCCACGCCTCATCCCCTGCCTGCCCTGCCCCACCGGCCCGCCTCTGCCTCTCCCTCGCCCGCCGGCCTGCTTGCCCGCCTCGTCGCCCGCCAGCATATCGCATCCTACCGGCCGGCCGGCGTGTCGTCGACCTAACCGCACCTCGTCGAAGCTGGACCGCCAGACCCTGCTAGGGTACGACCAACAGCCAGCGAGGCACGGCACCATTCAGCGGGCCCTTGCAAATGGAGCAGGCTAGGGGGAATTTGTGTCGCCTGCGCTCGCCGATATGCCGGGCCGTTGGAAAGGCGGTCTCCCGGCGACCACTGCGAGCCCTCGAGGCAGACGCCACCTTTAAACGCTTCGATAGAGCTCCTTGGGCCCAGGTGAACTGTGAATGCCCACACGCACTCGCTCCCACCCTTCATTCATCCTTCGCCCCGTCTTTCCTCGTGCCTCCCCACCCCGGTCCCAGAAGAAACGCAGGCTCTGGCTCAAGAGTGCGCCGTCATCGTGCGAGGACTTGATAAGAGGCACAGTTTCCTCTTCGGCGGCCAACGACTTCCTTTCTTTGGTCGTCTCGGCGCCATTAAAACCATCTCCTTTGACCCCTCGCCGGTCGAATCGCTGCACTCTGTGTCGATGGCGTGGCGGTCCTCGCCTCGTCAGTCCAGAAACAGCCTCGCAAGTCGGGTAGGCTTCATTCCAGGCCAACCACGGCGTACCGCTGGTACAGACAGTGCGGTTCAGAGACAGGCGCAGGACGTCTGATGGAAGATAGGTAGAGACAAGTAGTGGGACCGGGATAGGGGTATAAGGATACAGCGCTCAAGGGTCAAGCGGTGGTGGATGGCGACAGACAAGGATAGACGGACGATGCAGGGAAAAGGAGACGGTTGGCCAGTTGCGAGGCGGCGATGCAGCAGATGCGAGAGATGCCAGCACGGCCAGTCTAGTCCGATGCATTGGTGCCCGCCTTGGCTCGGTAGGACGCCGCATCAGTCGTGACCAGCGGATCCCTCTCCCGCTCCAGGATCTCGCTCGGTCGCAGATCCGCACCCTCCCCAGTGGTCTCAAGCGTCGGTGCCTCCGCGGCCACACCGCCCGACTTGCCCTCGGACCCACCCTCGCTTCCCTTCGCCGCCTGCCACTGCTGCTGCTGCTGCTGCTGCTGCTTGGCCCTCTTTCTCTCCTCGGCGCCCTCCCGCAACGCTTTAAACTTCTTGGCCGACATGCGCGTGCCAAAGATGGCGTCAAAGTGGACGAAGAACGGCTGCGAGTAGTTGTACTTGAGGCCCGTCATCTGGTGGTGCACGTCGTGGTACTCGGCATTGTTCGGGAAGATGAGGTGCAGCGGGTCAATGTACCACGGGAACGCGTACCCGCCGTGGTCGGCCACCGTCTTGATGGTCGAAAAGGTGAAGAGCACGATGCCCTGCCGCACCGTCATCCGCGCCGCGGCATGCGACAGGACGGCGCCCGCCGAGTCGAGCAGCAGGCCTGCACCAAGGGGACGAGGACGGCACAGAGGGGGGATCGAGAGGTCAGTACGGCGTGCTACGACGGCAGGGATCGCTCGAGCTGCGAGATCATGGCCCACGCCCGCTCGAGGGCTCACCTTCGACGGGGTGGTTGTAGAGCGCGCCGAATGCATAGGGGACATAGAGGCGGTGGTGGTGCGAGTGGAAGTTGCGGTAGAGCCAGCGGGACTCGTGGAAGAGGCGGTGGAGCATGTACTGCCACGCATCCATGACGAAGAACGCAAACCAAAACTGCGCGAGGGGGACGCCCCACCAGTAGAGCCACTTTGCGGCCTGGTTGGCGTCCTGGCTGCCGGTGACGAGGCGGACGAGGACGGGCGCGACCGAGGGGCCGGCGAGCTTGGCAGCGTAGAAGCGGATCCTCCAGGCGATCGAGAGAATCTTTGCCTGGTGATCGGCAAACGTCTCGCGCAGCACCGTCTGGTCGTCTTCGAGGACGGCGAGGCCGAGGAGGGTCTGGATGACCTGCTGCACGACGACCATGCCGACTACGCGCTGCACGCTGACGCGGTTGCGCTTGGTGATCTCCTCGGGCTCATGGAGGCGGTACTGCTCTGTGAAGGGTAGCCGGAGGACATCGAGGCTGTGGTAGAAGAGCGAGACGGCCCAGTAGACGACGACGGGGGCGATGAGCGAGAGGTACTTGTCCGAGAGGAAGGGGAGGACGGAGGAGGTGGGCGAAAAGTAGAAGGGCGTAGCGGCGAGGTTGTCGAGGCTGGGTGCGGCGACGCCTGCGCCCGCAGTGGCGTTGGTGCCGTGGGCGAAGAGGCTTGCCATGTTGGACGCCGGTTGCTCAGCTCAGAGGATGGAGGGGGGTGCTGCAGTCCGCGGTGACGGTGGCCTCAAAGGCGGTGAAGATATCGACAACGGCGAGCGAAGCTGCTTGAAGCCGCGACGATGAGGTCGAGGGTCTGGCACGGATGGGGTGGGCAGGGTGAGTGGGGCGTCCGTCGGTGCTGTTGGTGAAGGTGTTGGTCCGGAGCCCAGATATCCGTACGAGCGAGGGTCGAAGGCGGGATGCTGTTGCTGTGGATGTTCGCTGCTGACGCGCTCACAGTGTGAAGGCGAGCGAAGGCAGTCGCAAGCGGTGCCGATGGTGAAGTCGAAAGGCAGCGTGACAAGGGCACCGTCGAGACTTGAGGAGGAGGAGGGAAGGTGAGAGCGGCGGAGAGAGAGGAACACAAGCTCGCAAGCAACCACTACCTACGGCCCGGCTCGACCCTAACGGCGTTGGTTGCAAAGGGCCGCCGTGCCTGCACTTCCGCCGGCGTTGAGCCAGCCAGCCAGGGGGGCCAGAGGCAGGCGGCTCGAGCCCGTACAGCGACCCCCATGCCGAAATTTAGAAAATCAGACGATCCGCCTTGCATGCATGGGCGTGGCCTGGCGGCGGCGGGCGGGCGTGGCCAGGCCAGGCCAGGCCGAGCGAGCTTGCACCCTCACGTAAGCGGCGGCGGCCAAGGGTCGAGGGTCCAGTTTTCTTTTTCTTTTTTTCGCACGAGTCAATTCAAATCCACGTGATGGCCTCAGGTCGGGCTGAAACGGCAAACCAAGGCCGGGGGAGCGGGCGCGGGCGGAGGCGATCACCTGGCCGAGCCGGCCAGCAGGCAGCGCAAAGGGCAGGCAGGGCAAGAAGAAACCGCACCCTCGCCCGGCCGCCTTGGCCTGCCCGCCTGGTTGGCTGCCGATTGCAAATCCAGCCCTGCCTCCCCGAGAGGCGGCGGGCGACAGAGCGGGCGGGCGAATTCTTCTGTCTCCGCCCGACCGCCCGCCCTCGCTCGCTCGTCGCCCGCCCGCCGACCCGCACCAAGCCGCCGTCGCCGTCAGCCTCGAGCAGCAGCAGCCAGCAACCAGCAGCATCGCCCGCTTCCGAACACCCGGCCAGGCCACGACAGGACAGGAAGCCAGCATCGCGATTCCACCACCAACGACTTCACCACCATCCCTCCCCACCTTCGCTCTCTCAACCCGCACACCCTCGCTATCCGCCTCGCCTCGTCCGCCATGTCGTTCGCCAGGTCCGCCGCCGCACCCGTCCGATCGGCCGTCAGGAGCGCCGCCGTCCAGCAGCGCTCCTTTTCCACTGCAAAGGCCGGCAGCATCAACGTCGCCGCCGCTGTACGTCTCATCAGCCCGAGCTCCAGCTCCCATATCAGCCTCAGCCCCAGATGCGCGTCTCGGACTGCCTCGCCGTGCTCGCACAGGAGGCTTCACCTGCCCTCGAGGATAGCCCTCGGCCAGCTTGAGGGATGATATCGAGCCGCCTCGACCAGGGGCATAGGCACGATCGCCCTGCGATGCGACCGTAAAGTGATCACCATCACTAGGTGCTTCACCGGTCGGTCCTTGCCATCGCATCGCATCGCATCGGTTTCGGCTGCACTTCCTCTTGCTCTTGGTCTGGCCAGGCAACGGCATGCCAGTCACCTCTTTGACGTCCGATGACCGCCTGGGCGCAGATGCTCTTTGGCGATCCGTTGCCATGGCGACGCCCTGCCGACCCTCGAACTGGCTCGCCTGCTTGCCCACAGCAGGCACGTCGAGGCGCGGCTCCTTTGCACCAGCTCCCTTCCTTACTCAATCTCATCATCGAGACTGACGCCTGACCCCTCATCTTTCTCTCCGCTGGCCCCCCTTTTCCCGCTCCGCAGGACGATGGTGCGCTGACCTCGGCCGTCACTGTCGCCATCAAGGCCGGCTCCCGGTACGAGTCGGTCCCCGGTGTCGCCCACGTCCTCAAAAACTACCTCTTCAAGTCCAACGACAAGCGCTCCGCCCTCCGCCTCGTCCGCGAGGCCGAGTTCTACGGCGGCGTCCTCTCCACCGCCCTCACCAAGGAGCACCTCATCCTCACCGCCGAGTTTCTCCGAGGCGACGAGTGAGTGCGGCAGGCGTCCCCTCTGCCTTCCCTCGGCACCCGGACTGACCGGCCCACGTTGTCACGCCGCTGCCGATTGCTAACGCATCATGCCCTTCCTTCGTCTCCTCCCGCCGCTCTCTCTTCTTCCTGCAGGGACTTTTTCGTCGAGATCCTCGGCGACGCCGTCTCCAAGAGCAAGTTTGCCCCGCACGAGTTCTACGAGGAGGTGATGCCCCAGGTCGTTGCCGAGCACCTCCAGGCCTCGGCGTCGCCCGAGGTCCTCGGCCTCGACGCTCTGCTCCAGACGGCCTACCGCCAGCGCGGCCTGGGCGCGTCGCTCTTTGCCTCGCCCGCCACGCCCGTCTCGCACAAGGACACCGTCGCCTTTGCCAAGGGCGCGTTCGCCAAGAACAACATCGCCGTCCTCGGCAGCGGCATCGAGTCGGGCAAGCTGTCGAGCCTCGTCTCGAAGCACTTTGGTGGCCTGGCCGAGAGCGCCTCGGTCTCGGCTGCGCCCGCCAAGTACTTTGGCGGCGAGCAGCGGATCGCCTTTGTCGCCCCGCACGGCGCCGAGGAGACGCGGGCATCGCTGGGCCACTTTGTCATCGGCTTCGAGGGCGCGGGCCACCAGGACGCGTCGGCGTCGGCCGAGCTGGCCGTGCTGCGCTCGCTCCTGGGCGGCGAGTCGTCGATCAAGTGGAGCCGGGGCACATCGCCGCTGTCGCAGATTGCCGACAAGGTGGCCGGCGCCGAGGCCCGGAGCTTCAACCTGACGTTCAGCGACAGCGGCGTGTTTGGCGTCCACGTCTCGGCGCCGCACGCCCGGGTGCTCGAGGCGACCAAGGCGGCGACCAACGCCTTCAAGGAGGTGGCCGGCGGCGTGTCGTCCGACGACCTGACCAAGGCCATCGCCAAGGCCAAGTACGAGCAGGCTGCGGCGCTTGAGTCGAGCCGCCTGGCCAGCCACGAGGCCGTGGCGGGCCAGCTGCTCGAGGGCGGCAAGGTGGCGTCGCTCGACGACAAGGTGGCCCAGCTCGAGGCCGTCTCCAAGGACTCGCTCGCCAAGGTCGTCGAGAAGCTCGTCGGCAAGAGCGCCAAGCCCACCACGGTCGCCATTGGCAACGTCCACGTCCTCCCCTACGCCGACGAGGTCCTCTAAACGTCGGCCGGCCAAGGGAGCGGTCGATCCCGATGCCGTTCCCGTCCTCGAAGCGCCGGTCTGCATCCGTACCCGTGATTCGTCTCTGGTCCCCTCGCCGCAGTCGAAAGAGCTGCGGGGCAGTAGCGAGGCGAGGCAGAACGGCCGGTGGTCGGTTCGTTCCGGTCGGGCCGGAAGAAGGGCATTCACCTCTCGTTGCCCCTCGAGGATGAATCGATGGATCGATCGAGGAAAATAGAAGATACGCACACGCCCTCCTTCTTTGCCAGAGAAAGCCACGCTGTTTTTGTTTTGTCGACGGATGCGATCCGGTTCGGCGGGGGTTGGTTCCGTCAACGTGCGAGCGTATCTGGTCCGTGTGGCTTGACGAGGGGATGGGAGGGTACAGTTGCAGAGGCCGCCCGGGAGAAAGAGAAAGGCGAGACAGCATCCAGATTGACAAGAGAGGATCGGCACGATCATGAGAAACCGGCTAGGGGGCGGGCGACGGGAGATGTCGTGGTGCACGACCGAATGCGGATGTGGGCGTGGTCAACGAGTCGAGACGAGAACTTTACTCATTCCCCTCCCCTCCCTCCCCCTCCCCCCTCCCTCCCCCTCCCCCCCTCTCTCCTCTCTTCTCCCTTGCGCCAACCACCACCTAAAGAACAACATCGGCGCCATCATAGTTCTCCTTGACGAGACGGTAGATGTAGGAGCTGGGGTGTTCGCCGACATTGGTGATAAAGACGTCGACGAGTTCGGGAGCGATGTAGTCCCACTGCGGATTGACGACCTCTGCGCACTCGACGACGTTGGGTAGCGTCGAGAAATCCAGAATGGCATCGGGCGATCCGCCATCGCGGTGCGAGATGAAATCGTCAATCGTCTCCCACTCCGGACTGATCTTGTACGTCGCTGCCAACACTACGATTGGAGTCGAGTGCGACCGTGCAGCGAGGGAGATGGGGAGTGCGCCCGGTGAGGTGAGCAGTCCGCCGTTGGCTAGGATGGCATGGCCGCCCAGCACCACCTTGGAGACGCGCGGCATCACGGCGAATATGTTGCTATCCGGGATCAGCAGCGTCGAGATCTTGGCTGAGGAGAGCGAGCGCGCCAGCGTGTGGCCCGTGTACCTGCGTTGCCGTGCCGTGCCGTGCCGTGCAGCAGGGTGTCGGAAGTCAAAAGGGCCGGAGTCAGCACCCAGCCCTGGCCCCCCGTCGATGCTCTCATCCGTCTGCGCTCGCCTCGCTTTGACTCACAGCGGCGCCGTCTCTGCGACAATGACGGTAAACTTGCGGTCCTTTGCGGCGGCCTTGAAAAAGGCCTCGGTCGTCTTCGAGTAGCCCAGGGTGAGGATGACTTCGCCCGAGTGGATGTGGTCGCGGGCGTCCTTTGCAATGTTTTCGTCGGCCTCTTCGAGCTCGAGCAGCATTTCCTGGATGGCCTGGACGACGAGCGGCTTGAGCCAGTAGGCGCCCATGTCGGACTTCTTGTTGGCCGTCGTCGTCGCCGTCGCCGTCATCGAGGAGGATTTGTGGTGTAGCTGGCCCGTGGAGCGCGACACGTCGGCCTCGGACTCGGAATCGGAGTCGTGGGATGCGCCATGCGAGCCGTCGACGTCTGAGGCTTCAACGTCGTCATCGTCGTCTTCGTCGTCGTCGTCATCGTCATTGTCCTGCGCCTCGGCCATGGCCTCGCCGTCGGGGTCCTCGGTGACGGAAAACTGGCTGATGTGCGATCCGCCCTGGACGTGGAGGCTATGCTGGTTAAAGAAGCCGCTGCCGCTGCGCGAGAGGGGGCCGTGCGGTGTCGAGGCGTACGACGAGTCGGCGGGTGTGGCGAGCGCTGGGGTGGCCATGGCGCCCGCGGCGACGAGGTCCGAGATTGAGAAGCTGCCGTGGACAAACGCCGAGTCATTTCGGAGCGGCGAAGGGCCCGGACGGCTCGAGACCGTGTTGCCGGCCGGCGGTGTGGCTGCAGCGATCGATGGGACGGTACCGGGCGAGACAAGGGGGGACGAGGAAGGGAAGCCGATCGGCTGGGGTGCCTGGGCGGTGGGCGAGAGGGTGAGCCCGGTGAGGGAGCGGGTGAGGCTCTGCGGGGATGCGATGGCGGCCGATGGGCCGGGTGGGTTGCCCTCGTGTGCCTCGTTGATGGCGATGCGGGCCTCTTCGCGGAGGAGGTGCACGACGCGGCGGGTGATGTTGCCGATGGTTTGTTCTGCACAGGAAGGAGGGAGGCGGGAAGAGGCGAGGCGGCAGTGTCAGCTCGTCGTCGTCGTCGTCGGGGGGCGTTACTGTGCGATGGCGAGACGGACTTGTACGCACCTCTCGGCTGCGATGCCTGGAGGGCCCTGCCTGCTGCCTTTAGGATGTCGATGAGCTGCTGTAGGCTGGTAAACTTTGCCGCGCTCGCGACGCTGCGGAGGAGCTTTGCGGTTGCGGTTGCGACGTTTTCTGCGCCCTTGAGCTGGCCCCTGCGGAGCTGGAGGCAGAGTTCGGCGAGTGCGCGCTGCGAGGGCTTGTCGCGGATGAGGGATTCGATAGGTGCGTGGTGCGAAGGACGGGCCTTTGGTGGTGGTGGTGCTGTCGCTGCTGCTGCTGCTACTGCGCCAGTAGAGGGATAGGCCGAGGACGAGGAAGAGGGTGCGCCGAGGCTGGCGAGTGCGGCTGCGGCTGTGAGGTTGCCACCTGCTGCGTAGAGGGAGGCCGTCATTGTGGCGTGTGCTGCGGTGCGATGGGGGCGTGGCGAGTGCGCAAGGCGGTAGAGAGGGGAGGGTGAGGGTGAGGATGGGGGCCGACGCGGATGTCGACGTGGGTGCGTGCGGTGGGGGCTGCGAAGAAAAAAGGTCCAAAGTCAGGGCTGGCTCGAGCCAGGGCCGGCCAGGGTCGACGATCCATCCCGGCTGGCTGGCTAGGCTGGCTGGCTGGCTGGCTGGCTGACTTGGACCCAGCAGGCTGACTTGGACCCAGCAGGCTGACGCCCTCTCGCACGACAACCGCCTAGCCCGACTGGCCTCCACATGACGGGCCCTCTGGCACGCTGACGGTGAGCCTCCCCTCGATGGCAGCCAGACGTACCACCACCACCACCACCACCATCAATCACTAGCTCTTATCCCGCCTGGACGCCGCACACAGCCATGTCGCACGAGGAGCAGGCAGACGCCGCATTCGACGACGCCTACAGGTCCGCACGCATCCTCGCCGGCGACGACCCAGCCACCCTCCCCGATCCTTACCGCCGCTCCTCGACCGCCACCACTCGTTCAAAGCGCTCCCAGCCGCCCCCCGCCGACGCCGGTGGAGGAGCGGGAGGTTTCCTCCCCGAAGATGGCAATGATGATGACGGTGCAGCTTTCGCAGGAGGCGGTGGCTTCCTGCCCGAGGACGACGATGAAGCAGGCGGGACCCACGACCCCGACGCAGCACCCATCTCCAAGCCGCACCACCTCGTCCTCTCGGCCGTCCCAGACGCGCTCGCCAACCTCGGTCTGCCCTCCAACGACCCGGACGTACTCGACCTCTTCGCATCCACCGCCTACCTCCCGCCCTCGGCCTCCCGTCGCCGCAACGCACCGGGCGCGGCGGCCGTCGAAAAGGTCGTGGGAAGAGACGAGTTCAGGCAGGTCGTCGCCGTCCTCCTCTCCCAGCAGCCACACTCGGATGCGAGCAAAAGCCGGCAGCAGGAAGCGGGATCGAGTAGGAGACCCACGAGAAGAGCGGCTAGGAAGACCAGAGGCGCACTGGCAGAGGAGGCGGGAGGCGGGGATGACGATGACGACAGCGCCGAAGAGTTTCAGGACCCGGATGGGGACAGCGCATCGGAGCTCAGCCAGCCCGACGACGACGACGACGACGAGGTCGATTACGCCACAGCCGCCACGTCCTCCCCATCCAAGCGCCGGGCACGCGGTGGGCACGGCAAGAAAGAGGACCGGACGGGCGCAGCAGGCGGCGTGCGGCGTAAACGTCGCAAGGCCGCCGCAACTTCCTCCCCATCCCCTTCCGACGACGACGACGACGCAAAGGCGGGGGGTACGACCAAGCTCAGCGCCGACCAGCGTGACCAGGCGTTGGCCGCATTCGAGCTCTTTCTCGAACGCCTCCCCGCCCACTCTGGCCCGAGCAATCCGGCAGCGAGGAGGATCGGCTTCCGCGACATCCAGACTATCGCCGGCGTGCTGGGCGAAAAGCTGAGCGACAAGGACGTGAGTTGCACGCTGGTGCCGCCTCGCTCTCTTTCTCCTTCCTGCTTGCTCTCTCATCCCCTCTCATGGCGGGCCACATCGACTGACCCCCCTTCTATATCCCCTTCTCTATCTCTCTGCCTCTCCGCTCCATTGACGCACACCAACGGATGCAGATTGAAGAAATGCTCAGCGTAGCGAGTAGCCTGTTCGCGCCCGCCTCTTCGGCTTCAGCCACGCGCCTCTCCGCCCAGAGGGCCAGGGAAGCCGCACAGGGCGCCGCATCCGCTTTTGCGCAGGGGCCCATGGCGGACGAGAGGGAAAAGGTCACCGTCGGCATCGATGAGTGAGTTGCTCCCTCCCCGGTTTTCCGCATCGTCTTCCCCGTTCTGCCCTGCTCGGCATCGGGATAAAAAGGACGACACACGTGCTCATCTCGCACTCTGTCGTCCTCGCCACCTCGCCCTCTGTCGTCCTCGCCATCTCGCAGGTTCGCAGGTGTCTTGGTCAAGGCCAAACTTCTCTGATTGCCGCCAGCCCAGCCCGGCCCAGTCCGGCTCGACTCGACTCGGCTCGGCAGATCGGTGCCCGCCTTTGTACAAGTCATCGTCGCCATGCATCTCCGCTTGCTGTCTCGTCTCGACTGCGACGCGCGCGCGGCTCCCCTTCTCTCTCTAATCGAGTTCAATCGCCTCGGCCTCGGTGCTCCCCTTGACCACGTCCGCATCCCCCGCATCGACCTTGACCTTTTTGCTGCTACCGCCAGTGACGACATCGCCGTCGGCGGCGGTGGATCGTGCTCCATCCCCGTCGGCCCGCTTGCGCTTCGTCGCGTCGTCGACGTCCGGCGTGGACGAATCGGCCTCGACCTCTTCCAGACCCCTCTTTCGCCTCGCCGTCGTCGTCGTCGTGAGAGGGACGTCGAGGACCTCGACGACATCATCATCCTCGCCGTCCTCGACACGTGTTTGCTCCTCGTCCTCCTTGACAGCAGCAGCGGTAGGGGGCGGGTGCACCTTCTTCTTGAGCTCTGGCACCTCGCCCGGCTGCGGGACGACCAGGCCCGTCTCGCCCTCGCGCAGCGGCACAATGACGAGGTTGACGGCCTGCCACACGCCCTCCTCGTCGGTCACCGTCAGCATCTTGCCGGCACCCACGCCGAGCGACTCGAGCGTCGCGCCGAGGTTGTCGTCAAAGTCCGGATCGCTCAGCAGCCGCGCCGACTCGTACGTCTCGAGGCCCAAGGCGGACTCGCCGTCGCCGTCGTCGCCGTCACCGTCGGCCATCCCCAGACCGCCCTGGGCGCGCGGACGGCGCACAAAGCCGTCGAGCACCTGGCCCAGCGTCACGCTGCTCGCGTCGAGGCGCAGCGGCACGTAGACGTCGCGGCACACGCCGCACTCTGGGTTCGGTGGTGCCGGCGCGATGCTCGTCAGCATCCGCTGCGTCGTGCGCGCCAGGCTGACGTACTTGGCCGCTCCCACTCCCGGTGCCGGCGTCGAGCCCTCGCCTGCCGCGCTGCCGCCCACAGCCACGCCCCCGCTTTCGCGTTGCCAGCGCGCCCGCAGCACGTGGAGCGCCTGGAGGACGAGCACGCCCGCGATGATGGCGTTGGTCGATGCGATAGCCGGGATAATGTTGCCGGCCATCTCCTTGACCTGGAAGCGCGTCTTTTGCTCGATCGAGTAGACGTGCGAGCGCAGGTTGGACGCGGCCGTGACAAAGTCGAGCGCGTCGTCGTCGTCCTTGTCAAACGAGAGCGGGTCCGACGGGTTGGCGGCCGCACGGATCGCCAGCGATGCGAGGCTGTCAAGGGGAAGGTTCGCAAAGGTGACGAAGCAGCTCCGCACGTCGTCAGCGGCTGCTTGGGTCTGGCCGGAACGCACGCTCTGGACCTCGCTGCCGAACTCGGCGGGCACTCACCTCGACGCAAACATCTCGACATTCTCGCGCAGGCTGAGCTGCCGCTGGTCCTTGAGGCTGGTCTGTTTCTCGGCAGCGGCCCTTTTCTGGCCCTCGTCGGCGGCCGCGTCCCCGTCTGGCTGGCCCTCGACGGGCTTGCTGGCGGCGTCGTAGTCGAGCGGGACGGGCTTGACGGGGCGGTGCTTCCACATCTCGTCCATGCCGAGCAGGCGCAGGATGTCGCCCTTGTAGACCTTGTCAAAGACGCGCCGCGCCGCGCGGTGCAGCTGCTCGCGGCGCTGCGCAGCGTCCGCGTCGGCT